CCCCTTCTCTGAGGTGTGCATGACAATGCCCTTCTTATTCTGACCTTGATTATTTCAAGTCTCTAAAGGATGGATTGATGTATACTTGTAACAACTTATAGAAGAGCTACAGATTCCTTCAAAAAGAGGAGTCATGACTTATGATATTACCATGAAACACATTTTTTTTTATGAAAGCAGCATTGATGTGGACGATAAGTGATTCTCCAACATATGAAATGCTATCTGATTGGAGCACTGCGAGAAAGTTAGCATGTCCATATCGCATGAATTCATCTAAGGCGATCACATTTCAGCATAATAAGAAGAATTTATGGTTTGCCCGTCACCTTATGTTTTTAGATTTTGGACATCCCTTCAGGAGAAACAAAAGTACAATCAAAAGATATAAATTTGAGAAATCAATATCACCTCCAGTAGTACTTGAGAAAGATTTATTTCAGATTATCAGTGACATTTCGAATATTATTGTTTTTTCTGACCTATCTTTGCATCGTCCACTAGACTTTGGTGTTATTCATAACTGGTCAGAAAAATTCATTTTCTTGGATCTGTCTTGTTGGAAGGAAAACATAATTAGGCATTATCTCGATGGACATAGAGAAAATTTTTCTTACAATATATTCAACACTATGACAAATGTTAAGGGAAAAACTAAAGATAACGTGAATTCCATACTAAATTTGAAGGAGATTTGCAGAAGGCGGGCGCTAGAGATCCAAAAAACTATTATTGGCAAGCTTTTGAAGCCCAACGTAAAATATTCTCTTATTTTGGCACAATGGTGATCAATTTGTGAGTGGCTCTATGCATTGAAATTCCCTAACGATATGCTTCAAATTTGAGTTGTTGTATTGATGTGAAGACGGGAAAGATTTTTTGAATAAAAAGTCACGATTTTCATATTTTTCTTCACAACTGCATTTAGCAGCTTGCAGAGTGATATTTTAAATCCATTGGTTGAAATCAATGTGTTTTTCAAGTAGAAATGTACAACTTGTTTGAGTGTTGCTCACATACGATAATTAGAAGCAACCATTCAAATAATATTATGCAAGCTTGAATGAACATTCCCACCTAGTTTTTTCAACTCCATGAAGCATCTACCGATACACTTACTACATGAAACCTTACTTGGAGAACCAATACAGTATCAATGGATGTATCCATTTGAGAGGTGCATAGTAACAATTTTTTGAATAAACTTTCTTGATACTACTTCGTAAATAATATTTTGAAATAATTGCAATACATATTTTTTTAATAAAATGAAGCGAATTGTCAATAATAAAGCATGACCAAATGGATTCATATGTGAGAAATATTTACTATAGAAGACCACCACTTTATGCTTCTATTATTTCATTCAAGAAGAGTCAACGTCATTGAGTGTGGTTTCTCCTACTACACTTTTTGTTTTTCAGCATTTTGGTGAAGTATTAAGGAGGTTCACATCACGTTATCTCAGTGATCAGGAACTTCTAGCAGCGACATTTTATGTTCTTCTGAATTGTGACAAAGTTCAACCCTTTATTGAGGGTCCATTTGGGGCAGCTTATTTGGTGCGGTGGCGTTTTGAAAACACGCCTGACATGTTTGGGTAAATTGTATTTTGGCAGCTTATACGTTTTCAAAACGCTGAAAACAACGTTTTCACACAGGTGCGGTGGCAGCTTTCTGGCTGCTGTTTGACTTTTCCAAAAAAATAAAAATTTGTAATGGCTACCGTACCTAATTTATTTACAAATTATTTTTAATCAGCTTATCAGCAGATTATTCAATAAGTTGCAGCTGCCCCAAACAAACCCTGAGTAAAACACTAAATTCTATTAATAGTTTAATCTTCCAGGTGAAAGTATTATGACGGTCTAATCCATAATTTTTTTTTTACTGTGGTGACAATTTGTTCTCAGATTCATCGTATCCAGTTGAAGATGATATCACAAACCAAGAGATAAAAAAATATTCCACATAGTTCGCAAGACATGTAAGTTAGTTTTTAACAAAACTATTGAACATCTATGATAATTGTTATTAGGTATCTTTAATGACAGATGAGTTATTATGAATTACTAGATTTATGATCTAAACAATGGAGTAATGGATCATGGCTTGCTAGATCTTACTTGGGAACCCATGCACATCGTCAAAATTTGATATATTTATGATGTGAATGGTTACAAGTTTCATACGAGCTCCTGGCCAAAGGGAAAAAATTAATTATTATTCTGACATTTGTGTTAAAGTAAATAATAAATCAGAAGATGAGATAGGTTACTATGTGATTCTCAAAAAAGTTGTTGTACTATCCTACCTTGGCTCTATTGATGGAAGTGTATTTCTATTTAACTATGACTAGTTCGATCATGTTCCTAATCATGGAAAAGGATTATCCAACTGTATAATATTGTAGAAGTAAAAGTGAATATGAGATATGTTAAATTTGATTCGTTCATTTTATTAAGACAAGCAAGTCATATATTTTATCTTTAACTTCCCTATAGAATAAGAAACAAAGTAGAGTGGGCAGTAGTCATAGCCAGTAAACCAACAACAACTATTAATATTCATAATTCAATTGAACCAACTCATTAGGAAGTGGAAATGATGGAGTCATACATTCCACTTGATACTATCGATGAAGGGGTAAATTTAGTGGATGTTGAAGATGAACACGAAGAAATCGATATCAATGAACATGATTCTGACGATAGCTTGGATGAAGTAATTTTAACTAAATCATCAAATAACTCATCATAAGGTTAACGAAGATGTGTAAGTGTTGTTTTGTTTTTACTTTGTACTTTTGTGTTTTTAGCTTTAGTAGTTTGTAGATTGTAGTTTATAGTTTTCTCTTTCGTTTATTGCACTCTTATTATTTCAGTTTCAACAATTTGTAGATTGCATGAAATTTAGGGTTGTCATTTCTTTTTACTACATGTTATTGTGCTT